CAAAACAAAAACAACAACAACAACAAAAAGTCGAGCCAGGTAGTGGTGGCACATGTCTTCAATCTCAGCACTTGGGAGGCACCGGCAGGCAGATCCCTGAGTTTGAGGCCAGCCTGGTCTACAGAGCGAATTGTTCCAGGACAGGCTCCAAAGCAATACAGAGAAACCCTGTAAGAAAAGAAAAGAAAAAGAAAGAAAGGAAGAAAAAGAAAACCAAAAACAGTTGTTTTCCTTAAAAAAAAATCTCCAAGTCCCAAGTCCCTACTTACAGATCTCAGCTCAGATAGATACCAGGGACAAGATGACGTATAGGGATGAGATACAGCTAGTAGGGGCAGACACAGATGACTGTAAAATTCAGAGTGGTGTGGATTAACACGTATATGGAATTTCAAGTATTTGGAACATTTACTGAAAATCAAAGGAGGTGCAGAAATGTACTGCCTCAACGAGGAAATAAGGAATTCCTGGAAGAGTGGATTGGGCAAGGAAGTAAGAGATGAAAGCCTGGCATGAACAAGGGGCTTGCCTGGAAAGTTGAGTGCTCAGGATGTGGAGGTTAGCTTGACTGGCTAGCATGTTCAGTACTATTACAGGCTGAGGGTTTAGCTTATTGGACAAGCGCTATCACAGCTTCAGTTTGGTTCTGAGCACTGGAAAAAAAAAAAAAAAAAAAAAAGAGCCATACCTGGCACAGCAAATTAAATGCACCCAGTGGCTGGTGTGAAGAAATCCAGATTCTATTAACTACTTTTCGGGGAAAGGAAAAGGAAATGACAGTTGTTTGATGACTAGAGTTTGAACACTGTGTTTCCACTTGTCCTTGGGAGCCTGAATTGTACAATGTTCCTTCTGACTCATTCACACGTCAAGTCTCTAGCCCTGTATGTGAGCCAGTGAATTAGGTTCTGTAAAAACTTGCTCAACAGAATCCCCTCAAGGGCAGACATGACCAGCCTAATCCTACTCTAGAAGTTTCTGCAAGGACAGTGGTCCATGCCTTTTGCTGTGCATTTTCAGGACCACAGAGGCTGCTTGCACTACACAACCCTGATGTGGTGGCATGTCCCTACAGTCCCTGCATTTAGGAGGTGAGGGCAGGATGTTCAGGAGTTCAAGGTCACCCTTGGCTACCTAGTGAATTGGAGGCCATCTTGGACTCTATGAGACCCTGCCTTAAATAAACAAGCAAACAAATCCCCCACATGGGGGGGGGAATACCCTCCCTCATCCTAACACAAGAACATTTGCTTTTTGCTTATTGTGTGTGGAGGGGAGGCCCGTGTGCCATCAGAGGATAACTGGCAGGGGTCAGTTCTCTCCTGCCAGGTGGGATCTTGAAGACTGAGCTCAGGTCTTCAGGCTTGGCACCTATACCTGCTGGCTGAGCCATTTCATGGGCCCTGCCCTCCCTTGTGTCCCAGTATAGAAATGGATGCAGTCCGGAATAGTGGGAACAGTCTCTGAGAACCAATGGTAGTCACTGTTCAGTGGGGGGAAGGAATGGATGTGTTAAAGTTGCAGAGAGGAGCTGGAATGTAGCAAAGCACAGCTTTATTAACTTCAGGCCTCTGGTAAGAGCACATGTGGTCATGTGAGAGGAATATATACTGAGACAGACTCTCAGTATTCCAAACTTTCCATATAGCCTTGAATTCCTGATCCTCCTGCCTCCATCTCCGATTCTGGGACTACAGGCATACATCACTATGTTAGATTTGTGCATTGACAAGGCTTGAACCCAGGACCTTCTGCATGCTTAGTCAATAAAACTAAGCCACCAGTTCCCAAGAACAGAGTAAGCTGCCGATCCTATCAGGACCCGGCAATGGGTCATGTTCTAGTGCAATGGATCTGGAACTTTCTAATGCTGCAACCCTTACCCCCCCCCACATCATAAAATTGTTTTCATTGCTTCTTTATAATTGCAATTTTGCTACTATTATGAATTGTAATATAAATATCTGTGTTTTCTGGTGGCCTTACGAAACCCCTGTAAAAGGGTTCTTTGTTTTTTTTTTAAGATTTATTTATTATGTATGTAGTGTGTTCTGTCTGCATATATTCCTGCAGGTCAGAAGAGGACACCAGATCCTATTACAGATGGTTGTGAGCCATCATGTGGTTGCTGGGAATTGAACTCAGAACCTCTAGAATACTAGCTGGTGTTCTTAACCACTGAGCCATCTCTCCAGCCCTGCAAGTTTTCTTTGAACACTACTCTAGTTAGTAATTCCAACGTTCCCGAAGTACAGCCAGATTTTTATTAGGCTAGTATAGGCAGCCAGCTTCCAGATGGACAGTCACTATCTTGGAGTTGTACATGAGCTCGTAGCTAAGAGGCACAGAGAACTGGCCTTGGACAGCTTTCAGCATTTGGAGTCCTAGGTTGGCGCGTGTCCTGCTTTTCCCCAGGAGACACTCTTTTCAACGCCTCACGGGGTAGCTCCTGGTCTAGCATTTTGCTATGCTGCCAGCTTAATCTGCTAGATAAAGTAGGATGTGAGCTGGGCTCTAAGAGTCCTCGCTACACCAGTTACAAAGGCGATCTGCAGCGCCCCCTGGCGGTTCCTATTCCTGAACGGCAACACCGCGAGTGTCTCCAGAGTGCGAGAGAGCCATGAAACCAAACCCTTTGCTATCTGGCTTCTCTCCAAGGTTTCTCACTGCACTTCAGGCTCATGCCGAGAAGTAAGTAGGTGGCGTCTCAGACGGTCTGATAGGAGTACATAGAGAGCCTAGGTGATCTCTTTGGGACCGCAAATGTGGACAACTAGATGATGGGTCTGGTGTCATACAGTTCCTTCTCTCGGTAACTCCAACCAGGTCCCCATCACACTTCCTTTCCTGCCCTGGATCCTGAAGAAAGACTGACAGTGATCCCTGAAGCTAAGGACATACAGAACAGAGGGAGCAGCATCTCCAACACAGGAAGTGTGCATAGGAGAGATTACCATCCTCAGCCCTCACATACAACACACAGTACAAATCTGGGGTGGTCAGTGGCAATTTTTACCCTCACCACACAGGACACAGATTCAAATGTGGTCATGGAAGAGCTGTTGGTCTTCTCTGGTTGTCCCACATTAATTTGGACCTCCTGGGAAGATTCATGTTCAAATCAGAGCAGGTACAAGTGTTCAAGAATAGGAACTTGAGGATTAGTGGGTCAGAGTCCCTCATATTGGATTTTTTTTTTCTTTCAAGACAGAGTTTCTCTGTGTAGTCCTGACCATGCTGGAACTTGCTTTGTAGACCAGGCTGGCCTTGAACTCACAGAGATCCACCTGCCTCTGAGCCTGCCTCTGACTCCTGTGTGCTGGGATTAAAGGTGAGCATCATGCCTTGAGGTATACTGTATTCTAAATAATGAGCAGCTGGCGGAAGCAAAGAAGCAGCCAAGGGGCCTTTCTGCTTTAGCATCTGGTCAGTTTCCTGAGGTCAGGGGATACCAAAAGATTTTCGCTTCCTGTATTTCCTACTGAGGCAGACACAGAATTGTTATGGATTGTCTTGAGCTTTGGGCCCAAGACTTAGTTAGTACCCTGTGCTCATGGAGTCAGTAGCAGAAATCTGTGAGATTAGAATCCTTCCAAATATCATAGAGACAACCCTTTTCCAGCTATAGATTACAAAACTTTTTGAGTATGCTTCCCTTTTGTCTTTCAATAGCTCAAGAATTTAGGCCTGGGCAACCTTAGAGACAGCGACCAAGCCCTGTAAGACACATACTCAGGGAGTGTGTGTCAGGATAGTAGGTTTTAGCAGGTCATCTCAGCAAACTCAGATGCTCCTGGGAGGCAGAAGCAGCTGGATCTCTGTGAGTTCGAGGCCAGCCTGGTCTACAGAGTGAGTTCCAGGGCAGCCAGGGCTGTTAAACAGAGAAACCTTGTCTTGAAAACCAAAACCAAAAAACAAAGAACCTTAGAGAATGAATAGGCAATAGAGATAAGAAGGCATTTGGGATGAGCATAATTAAGGCCCTGGGAGCAGAAGTTAGGTTGGGTCAAACTCAGAGCTTCAAGGAAGAACAAGTTTCTTAAAAAAACAGGACTCTGAGCAGGGTGTGGTGACACAGGCCTTTAATCTCTGCTCTAGATAGGGACAGACTAGTAGATGTCTATAAGTTTAAGGCCAGCCTGGTTGGTCTACATACAAATTCAAGGCTAGCCAGGAAAAACAAATAACCATGACCCTGTCTATACCTAAAGTCTATAATGGCCCGTTTATCCTGAATCATTAGCTTGCATCCCTTTAGCCTAGAGGCCACTGACCTGCTCTGTGGTCAGTCTACCGTACCATAGTTGGTAGTTCAGTGAAGCAATGGGTGAACCCAGGGGACAATAGTTAAAAAACACTCATTCCCTGAGTCATGCAAATGCGGGGCTTGACCCTGAAAACGAGTCTCTTCCTTCCTTCTTTCCCATTGCCTTCACTTCAAGTCTTATGCGTCTAGGGAAGACACCATTTTCCATCCCCAGTATCTGGACATTCAGGACTCAGTTGAAGTTCAATAAACATCTGTCAGCGGCCCAACCTCAAGAAATGCCTTTTGTGCTGGGAGAGATGACTTAGCGGCAAGGAGCGCTTGTTGCCGTTCCAGACGATCGTGTTCAGTTCCCAGCACCCATAGTAGGTGGCTCAGAACTGCCTGTCTTTAGCTCCAGAGGATCTGACGTCCTTTTCTGGCCTCTCAGGGCAACAGCCCTTTTACCGGACACAGAAGCACACGTATACATAAAAGGAAAAAATGTCTTTGACATGTGCATGGTGGTGCACACCGGTGACGGCAGCGCCAGGGATGCAGAGTGAGAAGGTTCCTGAGTTCCACGGCTTGACGTAATTAGAGAAATCCCTGACACAGCTGCTTAAATGGGTATCGATTGTATCGACACTCTACTTCTGAGGCCTGGAACAATGAACAGGATCAAGCCACAGCCAGTAAGTGTGCAGCGCTGTGATTGGTCCTTGCTTAGGCGAAAGGGAGAGTCCGCGGGGCGGCGAGGGGGTCTTCTGGGAAGTCATGGCGTCGCTCAACAGTAGGACGGCGGTCTGCGTGATCTGTTTGGAGAAGCCGAAATACCGCTGCCCGGCCTGCCGCGTGCCCTAGTGAGCCGGGAGCTCGTGGGCGTTGGGGAGCGCGAGCACCGGGCCAGGAGGGAGGCCGGGCTGCGGGCGGGAGGCGCGCTCTGCGGCGGGGGGCTGCCGGCAAGAGGCGCGTGCTGCGCCCGCTGGAGCTGACGTGACAGGCCTCTCTTTTTCTCTGTTACAGCTGCTCTGTCACTTGTTTCCAGACGCACAAAGGTAAGTAAGACCCTGGACCACTCTTGTAGCCCTTGGCCCTTCCTTGCACGCCATAGGTACCATGGCCCGTAATCCCAGCATTCAGGAAGGAGCCCGAAGCTGGGGGATTCCCACGAGTTCAAGGCCAGCCTGGGCTCTAGACTGAGGTCTTGTCTCAGACAAAAGCAAATAAATTGCTTTATTGGAAAAAAGTCAGTCCTATCTGTTTATTCGTCTTAGCGTTCTAGCGGAGCTCCTCACTATCCTTGGCCGAGGTGAATTAACTAACTGCGTTTCTGTCTTTAATGGTTGTTTATTGTTTCAATAGAAAGAGAAGTTTTCTTTTGTGTTGTGGTTCTTTTTGAGGCAGGTTCTTTTTTATATAGTCCAGATTGTCCTCAAATTTATATTCCTGCTTTCTATACTCTAAATGCTAGGATTATAGGAGTCCAGGTCCATGCCACCAGATATGGCTAAGACAAGTTACTGACTTACTGAGAAAAAAAAGCTGGAGATGGAGAAATGGCTCTGCCTGTTGTTGTTTTCCTAGAAGATTTGAGTTTGGTTCCCAGCACCCACCTATTCTAGGCAACCTGTATGTCCATTACCAGGGAGTCTGCTGCCCCTTCTGGCCTCAGCAGGCACCTCCACACTGTGGCATAAACACAAGCAAAAACAAAACCATTTATTTACTTATTTATTTTGGGTTTTTCGAGACAAGGATTTCTCTGTGTAGCCCTGGCAGTCCTAGAACTCTGTAGACCAGGTTGGCCTCGCTCAGAGATACACGCCTGTCTCTGCCTCTCGAGTGCTGGGATTAAAGGTGTGTGCCACCACTGTACAGCTAAAAACAAAACCTTTAAAACGGGGTGGGGGGCATTTGGGAGTGATGGTGCAGACTTGTGGGTATAACTCCAGCGTGGGGGAGGCCGAGGCAGGTCAGCCTGGCTTCATATTGAGACTGTTTGAGAAAGCCTCAATCACCTGCTAAGTTTTGTCTAACGTGAACACATTTTCTCTTTTTGAGATAGGGTTTCTCTCCGTAGTCCTGGCTGTTCTGGAACTTTGTTTTTTGTGCTGTGCTGTGCTGTGTGTGTGTGTGTGTCTATTTTGTTTGCAGTAAAAAAAAGTTCTAGGACTGGAGGGATGGTTGAGCAGTTGTGTGCTTGGTGGTCTTCCAGAGGACCTGAGTTTGGTTCCCAGCACCCGTGTCTAGTGGTTCCCAGACGCCTGTTAACTCTGACTCCCTCTTCTGGCCTCCACAGGCACTGGCACACATGTAGCATATATTCTTTCTGCTACTTTGTCTCTCTTGTTTTCTTCTGTCCCTGGCTCACAGCTCTCTCCCTGCCAAAAATGCTCCCTCTCCCTGCCATAGCTTTGTCCCCTAAGTCTCTGGGTTTCCTCGGGCAGACTCCGACCAGACCCCTCTTACTTCATCCATCTCTTTAGTGTCTTGTGACTAAACACTGCCAACGTGGAGTGACAACTCCCACGTCTGTCTTCCTAGTTGCACATGGTACATACATGTGGTATTTGAAACTGCCTAGAAAACCTCTGATGCTTTTAGAAGTCAAGGCCATTAATCCTGGTGAAAGTCCTGTGAAATTGGGGTGGGAGCTCACAGCCACCTGAACTCAGTTTCCACCAAGTCAGAGTCAGAATTACTCATGGTTTCCTTTGCTTCATTTGACCTGTCCCTCTGTCTCTTCTACCCTGTACACATGCTTCTCCCTGGCTTGGTGGGGAGCTGCAGCCTTGCTGCTGACATGGAGAGGTTGTGTTTGTATATGCCTGAAATTTGTGTCTCTCTCAGAGCAGTGCAACCCAGAAACCCGTCCTGTTGAGACGAGAACAGTAGCTCCAGTAAATACAGGGTCTGAGGAAAATAAAGGTGAGTTGATCAACTTTAAGTGAGCAACCTGCAAGGGATTTCAAAGATAGTGGGAGGGAGAGAAGATGGTGGGCAGGGTGCAGGTTGGACTTAGAGCAGCAGCTCTAGTCTCAGGGTGGGTCACAGGTTGTCACAGGCGGTGCTGAGAGCATCCTGAAGCATGGTTTCACAAAGGGGGTCTTGGGCCCTGGTAGGTCCATGTGGGAGGCTTCCGTTCAACTGCTAGAGCCTTCTTAGAGTTTAGAGAGGTAATGGGCTGTCATTCCACTTATGTTTCATACATCCGTGTATTCATCTATCCATAATGCCTCCTGAGTGTCATCACTCTGCAAACAACTCCTCTTGTACCACAAAGAGGTCCTTAAGATTCACAGAAAGAAGCCGGGCGGTGGTGCACACCTTTAATCCCAGCATCTGGGAGGCAGAGGCAGGCAGGCAGGTGGATCTCTGAGTTTGAGGCCCCCCTGATCTACAGTGTGTTCCAGGACACACTCCAAAGCTACAAGAGAAACCCTGTTATGAAACTCCCCTGCCCCCAGATCTTGCCAGCAGATCACAGGAAGTATGAACCATACATTTGTTAAACACAGTCACCATTCTGCCACCTCCCTTTCTTGTAAGGGGATGAAATCAGAGAAGCAAGCTGTTCATTTTTCTTGGCTGTGACTGCTGGTGTGCCTCTCACTATCACACACATACAAATACGTTGCCAACATGGCTGTCCTGGCTTTCTGAGACCTGACAAGTTGTGTTCTGCACTCCTCAGATGATGACTCCTCTATAGCTGACTTCCTCAACAGCGATGAGGAAGAAGACAGAGTGTCTCTGCAGAATTTAAAGAATTTAGGTAAGTCTTTGCTGGGCTTGTTTTTCATTATCTATTTTGTTTACTGCTGTAAAGGCAGTGGAACCAGGGAGAATGGAGCCTAAAAATGAGGTTGATCACAGTCTCCTGCAATAGCCAACTTTACTCAGAGCCTCAGACACTTTATACCCTGAGGGCTAACTCACCTGGGTATAGCACACAGTCACAAAGACAAGCTGCAGGAGGCAGAAGCATGTTTTTCCATAGAGGCATATATTAAAAAAAAAGTCGGCACTAGTCGGTTGTAACAGCAACCTGAAGCCTCTCCTAGCCACACCCGAGGAGCACAGAAGCATGTTCTGAGAACAATTCCATATATGTAAAGAAACTGAGGTCACAAAACTCTTGTGTTCTTGGAGTTCTCTCATAAGCACTCAGAATTCCCTTTGCATGACTGTTCCAATACTATTTCCTTTATATGGAATGTGGTAGGTCTCTGAGTTGTTTTGGTCGGAGGCTGGGATAGCTAAGGATTTCTGAGGCATGTGCTCTGCTTCTGGGCAATATGCTCAGCACTGCATTTTCCTTCCTTTTTTTTTTTGGTTGAGACATCTTACCATATAGCTCTGGCTGGCCTAGAACTCAGTGTAAACTACACTGACCTCAGATGTGTCTCTGCCTCCTGATGCTGTACTTCAATACTCAAAATTGTTACTACTGTTTTGAATGAAGTGTGTGAGTGTGGGCTTGAGTGCAATTCCAAGGACATTCTTTTCTGAAGTCATTTCTCTCCTTTGACTGTGGGTTCTGGGGCTCAAACTCAGGCCACCAGGCTTGCATAGCAGGTGCTTCTACCTGCTAAGCCACCTCACCTGCCCCTTTCTATCTTTAAAGATTTACTTTTAAATTGTATCTCTGCACCTGAGTACAGGGGCTGGTGGAAGCCAGAAGAGGGCGTTGGAGCCCCTGGAACTGTAGTTATAGGTGGTTCTGAATTGCTAAATATGGACATGGGAACTGAACTCAGGTCCTACAAGAGCAGCGAATGTTAACTACTGAGCCATCTCTAGCAGTGCACCCCTTTACCCTTCCTCAGCAGGCACACATAAAAGTCAGAGGACAACTTTTGTCTCAAGTGTTAAACTAATTCTCAGCATCTCTGTATTTAAAACTGTATTTCAACTGAGGCAGACACTGAGATCTCTGACTTCATGTGTACATGATCTACATAAAATGGGATTTATTTGAGATGGTCTCAACATGTAGTTCTGGCTGGCTTGGAATTTGCATGTAGACCCAGCTGCCCTCAAACTCAGAGATATCTGTCTGCCTCTGCCTCTCTTGTAGTATGTTATGTGCAGGTTGGTATAATTTTGCTTTAAAAATACAGTTTGTTTTCTTTGCTTACCTGAGCCTTTCTCCAATTTCAGGCTCAGATTAGGCATTTTTCTAGCTTCCCTTAGTGCCTTGGACTTACTAGTAATTTATTACTGTAGTCACATTTGATGAGTGATTCGCCTCTTACAGCAGCCTGTGGGGCAGACCTGTGTTACATGCTGTTTGCAGTTCAGTCAAAAATAGACTGGGTAATCAGCAGGGAGAGGATGGTGTTCACCTCATTGTAATTATGTGTAGGTGTCTGAAGGTATATGCACACGAGTGCAAGTGCCACAGAAGCCAGAGGAGTCAGATCCTCCTGGAGCTGGGGTACAGGTGGTTGTGGGCCACCTGCCTTGGTTGCTGAGAATTGGACATGCGCCCTCTTAAAGAGCCGTCTCTCCAGCTCAGTCATGCACACTTGTGTAGCATTGCTTCTTTGGTGCTTGCAAGAATTCTGTTATTGGTGCTAGTCTCATTTGTGTGTGTGTGTGTGCACACAGGCTAGAGGAGGCATTGAGAGTCCCCATCCTTTTCCCCCTTATTCCTTTAAGGTGAAGCCTCTCATTGAACCTGGAGTTAACCTTGACTAGGCTCAGTGATCCACCTGTCTGCCTTGCTTAGTGTTGGCGTTACAGGTGTGCATAGGACCATGCTTGGCCTTTAAGTGGTGCTGAGATAGAGCACTAGGCCTCATGCTTTGCACAGCCAGCTCTCTTAACTGCTGATTCATCTTTCCAGCTCAGATCTTGTTCGCATGTATATTGAAAGAGAATTTGTGAGTATAGTCATCTCTCTGATGTTCAAGGCAGCTTGGTTCCGGAACCTGTTTCTCAAAGATGGTCAAGTCTCCTTTTATAAAATGGTCTAATGCACACAACTGGTACACTTTAAATCATTAACCTAATTTTGATGCAAACACTAATTGTGTGGTTATGATAAGGGGAAAAAAATGACATTTGCTTAAAAGGTTTTGGTTTTTGATTTGCTTTTTGTTCCTGGCTGTCCTGGAACTCATTCTGTAGACCAGGCTGGCCTTGAACTTACAGAGATGTCTGCATCTGTCTCCTAAGTCCTGGGATTAAAGGTGTTTGTTGAATGGTTTGGTGTGTGGTTCGTTGTACAACCTGAGGACATGGGGATGACAGCATAATGGTTAAGGACATAGAAGCCCTTCATAGTTGGTTACACTGAAACAGCACTCAGCCACTGCCCTGGCTTCCCCTTGAACTTAAAGCTGTCATTGCTTTTTAAGGTGAATCTGCAACTTTAAGAAGTTTACTGCTCAACCCACACCTGAGAGAGCTGATGGTTAACCTGGATCAGGGTGAAAACAAAGCAAAGCTGATGAAAGCCTGCATGCAGGAGCCTTTGTTTGTGGAGTTTGCAGACTGCTGTTTAAGAATCGTGGAACCATCCCACAACAGGGATTCTTAAAACTGGATGTGCTCTTTGCTCAAGCTGCCCACTGCTTCTCCTAGGAGGAGGTTGTTTCCAAGGCTGCTGTAGAACATGTAGATCCTCCTTCACTTGGCTTGCTTCAGACAAGTGGAGGATATTCAAGGTGCAGAGCCTGTATGAAGAGGAAGCCTTGAGTGATGGCTCAGCTCTTCCAGAGGACCAATCTTCAGCACCCACATGACTGCTAACATTTGTAATTACAGTTCCAGGGGATCTGACACCCTCATCTGGCCTCTGAAGGTACTGTAAGCATGTGGTCCTGCAGGTCCATACTTGCAGGTAAAGGCAAAACTCACGTACCTTTTTAAAAAAAAGGGAAAAGGCTATGTATATTTACACGGTGGTCTTAAATTTATTTCTGGTACAGTTCAGAGTTACATCATAAATACCGAGTTTATGCATTAGGATTAAAAACTGATAGTGTTACTACATGTTATTGATGACATTAAATAAATTTATTAAATATTATTGTTCCAATGAACTATGTAAGTTCTTCCCCAACCAAAATTCTAGAGCCAATTTTAGGGTGATTTGGCCCTTTTAAAGTGCTTGTGGATGACTTAGTGTCCATCCTGCTGTTGTGACAACATTCTGGATGGACAGTTACATCTGCTGATCCTGAGCCTGAACACAGTAAGCTGGGACCTTGTGGCCCTAATTCTGGCTTGTTAATAGTCACCCCCAGATCTTGCTGGTGCTGAAGCCATAGTGCTGGCTGGCTGGTACTCTGACCACAATTCCCTGGCTCACAGACACGAACTGCTGCTTGCTCGTGTAGTCAGAGTCGCTGTGGGAATAGCTTGGCAGTTGTGTGTTGATCAGATGTCTTTGGCAAGGCAGCTGGCAGGAAATGGCCTTGTGGAAACAAAGCACTAAAGATCACATAGGCAGGTGGGGGTAGAAGAGTCACACTTGGACTGGCCTGTTTCTTTCTAGCAGAATCTGATTAAAACCAGTAACACTAGAGGCTGAAGGTTCAGGGCAGATGTCAGCATACTGAAGCGGAGACTTCCTGCAGTGAAACTTTATCGAGCCCTAGGGAGACAGAGGTGCATGCTGTTAGTGGCAGGGCCCAAAGACACCTCAGAGAGAAATCCAGTAATAAAATCTCATATCCATTGAGCATGTCAGGAAATATCAGGAAGGAGTCTATTACTCTAAGTGTACTATCTGTCATCCCATGACTACTACAGCTGGAAGATCAGAACCCTTCCGTTTCCCCTGGTCAATTTCAGGGAGATTTTGTATAGATTATATAGTATCTTACTTTCTTTCCTCTGGACCCTTGTACCAGGCTGGGTATTAACCCAGTCTATAGAGGAGAAAAATGGAAGTTCCAAGATGACATGCCATCACCAAGGTTATCCAGGGAAGGGGCTGAGCTGAGACCGGGCTTGAGGGTTCACTTTCAAGTGGCACAACATGTAGAACCAGGCAATACAGTTACTATTTCTAGTAGAGAAAGTGACAGCCAGTAACCAAGTGGCAAAATTTGAGGAAACTACCAAATGCAGTGTCACTTGAGGTGACAAATTATGGCCACTCATTTCTTAAGAGTAGGTCTAATGTTTTAGAGTTCACTACGCTACTCTTTAATTCCTTATAGTTACTCTGTAGGGTGTTGCTTGTGTCCATCTGATAGAGGACACAGAGCTGACGTACATGCCTAACTGAGGATCTCAACATTGCAGAGAAAGAGCCAAACACAGGCAAAAAGCTTAGGAGCAGTTTTTGAAAGGCTCTGAACAGTTCTGGTGTTTAATCTAAACAAGGTAATCTACACTTAATAGATTTTGGCTTACTTAACAGTGTTAGGGAGTTTTGTGCTACCCCTTACCCACAAGCTTTGTTCACTGCCTTTCTCAAGGAACAACTTGGAGCTGTGGGAAGGACTACCATGGTCTCACAGAACAAGAACATACCTGAGGCAGTGCTCTGATGGATGTAATACCAGCCTGATCTTGTTGTGGTGTTTGGATGTTGTTGCTGGAGCTGCCCGTGGGAAGCCGGAGACAGGCATGGGCCACCAGCTTCCTCTGAAAGCCCCGCACACCCACAGCTGAGTTGGCTAGCACCAGTCCCAGGGGCCAGAGGTGGATTATTGCCCCCAGGAGTTTAGTGTGTGCTGGGGGCATCGAGGAGCTCAGGGAACTGGGAACGTGACACATGGGTTTCTCCTCCATACCATCCAGTTCTTTAGAGGCAAGACAGGCCATTCTGACCTTAAAGAGAAAACATTGCTTTACAGCTTTAGGTTTGTCCAGTCTTCTTAAAAGAATTTACTTTTGCATTCATTTATTTGACATGGAGGTATGATATAGTGGACATGCTGAAGTCAAGAGGACAATTTGTGCATCCTGGGAATGGATCTTGGGTGGTCAAGTTTAGCCTTCTTTAAAAAAGTTAAATTGCCAGGCATTGGTGAGGCAGAGATAGGTGGAGGAGTTTGTTCCTACCGTGAAGGTCTCTGGGCTCAAACTCAGTTGGTCAGGCATGGCAGCAAGCACCTTTAACTGCAGAGCTATCTTACTAGCTCTTTCCAGCACTCTTATAGGGAAATAATCAGCTTGACAAGGTAAACTGAAGGCCCTAGGCTGTGATGCTCTGAACTAGATTGGCTCCATGTGGCAGAGCGTAGAGACTGCAATTCTATTGGCAGTTTGTTCTTAGAATTGCTTATGTCACTCTACTTTCACAGCCACCCTGTACTGGAGCTGCCTGTACCCATCTCATAATACGGGGGACACAGGCTGAGAGGCTGTATGGCCTGCCATCATGCTATACCACAGTGGCAGAGACATTCCCTGTCAGGCCTGTCTGAAGCCCAGTCTCCAAGTGCTGTCCACCCGGTCATACTTACTCTCCACTTATGCCATGCATGCTTGATGACTGTGGCAGCTATGTGTAACCTTCTGATGTGTTTCCGAGTTAACCAGGACCGAACAGCTAAAGAAACAGCAGAAGACATCAAGACCATTATTAGAGTTGTTAGTCATGTGGCCAGTACAGGGTGATGTGAAAGTATGAAATTTGTTTTTTTTCAGTGGTACACTATGTCATTATATAAGACAAAATGGGGCTTAAAGTCACTCCTGTGCTGGGCAGTGGTGTTGCATGCCTTTAACTCCAGCACTCTTGAGTTGAGGCCAACCTGGTCTATGGAGAGAGTTTCAGGGCAGCCAGAGCTGTTACACAGAAAAAACCCTGTCTTGAATAACAACAACAAAAGTCACTCCTGGAAAGATGGCTCAGTGGTTAAGAGCACTTACTGCTCTTGCAGGGTACCGGATTTGGTTCCCAGCACCCACATGGTAAGTCACAACCTCTTCTGACTCTGGTTCCAGGAGAGCTGACGCCCTGTTCTTAAGGGTACCCACACACATATGGTACACATACACAGTCTCTCATACACAATAAATCTTATGTTCTACTGCCCACAATCCTGCAGATTGCCACACATTGAAGGGCCACCTGGGAGCTCTAACTGAAAGGACCCAGGCTCCCATAGATCTCGGGCTCAGTCTTCAGTGCCCAAGAAACAAGAGGGATCTGGGTTATCTGTGCCTTTAAAAAAAATTTTTTTTTTAGCTTGTATGGGCATGTAGCTCCATGGTATATTATAGCACTTGCCTAGCATGAGTGAAACACTGAGTCTGATTCATGACACTGCAAAAGACAAATTATTTAATTATTTTCATTTTTAAAAATAAGCCTGTCAGGACTGTGTTACTCACACCCACCATATGGACTCAGACTCACTAACAGGTGGCTGGGCTCCACCTACCTGCCTGAATGCGCACTGCAGCCCGCTTCTGTTTCTCCTGCTTTTGGAGCCGATGTCGTCTCCAGACACACTGGATGCAGAGGGCACACTGCTCCAGCATCTGGCTACGACCACATTCCAGAAGCTCTAGCTGAGAGAAGAGGAATCCAGTGAGGTCCTTGGTCTCTCATCCCTACCCTGAGGATGGCAGGGGACACCTATAATCTCACCCCACCTCCAGTTTACCATGGAGTCAGTCATGAAAATCTTTGTCCTTCCACAGTACAGTGGGACTTGTGTGGTCTCAGTTGGGTCACTGGTGGCTGTCTGAATTAAAGCTGGCAGAGCATGGAGAATGTCCTGTAGTAGAGGCTGCAGAGGGGCCTCCTGGGCACACAGAGGCTGCTCTGGGGGGGAGTGGGGGGAAGGGAGAAAGGCTTTGTCAGTGCCTGCTCATTCCCACAAGCTTCTGTAGCCCAAAGAGATTGGCCATGGTCTCCCTAGAGTTCGCTAAGCCTCTTTCTTGCTGCTGTTCTAGTCATTTCTTCCCTTCTTTTGTGGGTAGAGGAAGCCCTTAAGTCCCTCACAGTCCTGGCTCTTTGGGAGTGTTCTGAGGCCTCTACTGCCCCATGTCTCCTTGGACAGGCAGGCAAGGAAGCCTGAAAGGAATCCCAGGCTGCTTGGCCACTCCCTCAGCTCTACCTCTTACTCATTACCCTTATAATACCCAGCTGTGGGAAAACCCTCCCAAGCTCTTCCTGTGTGGGAGGATTTACCTGAGGGCTTTGACCACAGTTAGCAGCCCAGCACCTCTCTGGAGACAGGCCATCAGAGCAGATGCAGGAGATGAGAGACATCCACAAAATAGACCAGGGCCCAGAGGGGCTTGTTGGTAAGACAGACAGGAAAGCAAGCCATGGAGAGAGGAGAAAGAAAGGGAGAGGGGAAGGAGAGTGACACAATTCCCAGGAGAAAGAACTTGCTCACTGGGGCCCAGAAGAGAGCTGTGATTGGACAGCAGCTGTGGTTGGGCTGAAATTTGTTCTAGTCCTTGTGTCTGTCCCTCCACCAATCCCTGAGCTTCAACATTCCCACCTTCTTAGACAGCCACACTGCCAACAATCTCAATCGCAGCTATAGGCTAGACTTTTGCCCGAGTGCTTTTTATATGTCTCCCCCTTTGATGCCTCCTAGGGCCTGGAGTTCAAGCGGGCCATGCAGGGCTGGTCCAGATTCCTCAGATTTCCCTTCTGCCTGTCTTCCCACGGGCAAGGTGGAGTTCACCCTCCATTTTTGTCTACTTCTGTATCTGTATGGTGCCATGGCTACCAACACTGACCAGCTTTGCCCACCTGTTACTCAGCTGCCCACAGCTCTGGCTTTTCCTTGGGTGGCTCCACAGCCTCACCCCCAAGGCCTTCCATAAGGTCCCTAGAGTAGATGAGAACATGAGGTGGATAGAGCTCTGGCTGTCTTCCCTAAAGAGGCCACCACCTTGCTTCTTGATTAGGGTCCACCTGGCACCCTAGCCTTACCTGTCACATCTACTATTCTGTCTCATTCCTGGAAGCTTTTGTTCAGATACCTTTGTCCTGTATAGTGGTTGTTACCTATCTAATCCAGTTTAGCACCACATACCACCTCCTCCAAAATGCTTTCCCATGTCCGCTTTTCCCTGGCATCAGAGTAAGCTCTCTGCCTTTATATACTTTGTCTGT